GAAAATATATTTTTTTGTTATCGTCCTTAATAACTTAACTTGGACTAAATGTTTAATTTTATATATATATATATATAATTTTTTTAGTAAATATTATTTTATAAAGTTCACTAAAAACAGAATACTTAGCACATTTAATATCTGATAATTCATTTAATTACTCGTGAGAGTGCATATAGTCCAAGTCTATATCATAACATGAACAATCTTATTTGCCCGCATCCGTCCATAATACGAGAACTCGTATTTATTTAACACTACATCAAGGCATCGGTGCAGTGGATCTTGCACATTTTTCGATGCATTCATGTCACACAGCACATCACTTATAGGGGATGTCGTAGCATTGACAATGATTTAAAAAATTCATGTCATAGTATTTCAAAAACAAAAATTTATAATAGCTATCTACAATTTAGTGCAACCCTTCACCTTTTTGCATCCAAGAAATCAGACAATGACGGTGTTATAAATCATTATATTCAATATCAATATGCAATAAAAATATAGCATGTTAAATATGTTTTATTTAAAATCAAAACATAAACAATGAAAAAGAAACTAAATCAAAAATTAAATTGATCTTAAAAGGCTCCTTTGTTACTAACAATGATAGATTATGTTTGTCAATTTTCCCAAAGTTTTAAAATGCATTTTATTTATGTCACTAGATAAGCCGCCCTCCCATGAAACTCTCCACATCCAATCACCACCCCATCACATCCACCCACCTAAAGAAGTCACAACATTCTATTCTTCTCCTCGGACACCTACAAAACTGTCTACCGCAGATATGTTGTTGTCACGAAATAAGCAGGGAACATTGCAGTATGTAATAGTAGTACAATACTCTAGAGATGCCGGAAATCTTTGAAGTCATCTTTTCTGAAGGCTTAAAACCACAAAACGCGAACCCTTAAATGCAATTTGTGAAAATGAATATAAGAAATAATCAATTAAAGTTTTATACAGTTGCAAGACCTCAAATGACACAATATATAAACCAATCAATCTGAGTCAGTACAAGAAGACAACAGACCTCATAAAAAAAAGGTTTCTTAGTTGTCTTTTACCCACGTAATATCAAGTTCGAGTGTGTCACATATGTCTATCACCAAAAAAGGGTCATCCAGAAGAATATCAAAAGCCATAGAACTGAAAAAGGAGAGAAATTTGGTTGTCTCCATTGAGATTTCACATATGAAAAGAACCAATAATGACATATAGGTCATCTAGAAGAACGTCTAAGGTCGAATGTTTCATTATAGATCTCCAAAACCAAAAAAAAATAAAATGCAATAAAAATTTATATTCATAGTTGCCCACCGGTCATTCAAGTGGGGAAGAAAACATGCAAAAGAGCAAGAAATAGAACTGAGATTTAAAACATAGATAATTTGATAAGACATCAATACAATAAACAAAAAAAATTTCACCACACTTTGCAAATTAAGTAGCAATAAAAAAGAAAATACAATGGGTCCATTCAACAGTCAGTTATGGCATATGTAATCCATTCTCTCAATTTTATCATCTTTCCTGAACCGTCCCCATTCTAGGTGCAACTCTCAGATATTTCATCTTCTATTTGTAATGAAAATTATCCTAGGCGATATTCAAATGCTTCGGTAGGGATATGTGAATAATCTTCATCAACCCTGCTGAAATCATCATTACGCGAGGGATGCCGCAGATATAGTTGTGTGAAGATATTGTCGCCACCACAATCCGAACTTGCTTAGGAAACAGATATATAAGCATATCCCACTGTATGACCTATTTTTTTTCCACACTCCAAATATTCTTTCAATGACATCAGGTAAGGATGGGTATCTCTTATTGAATATTTTTTTCCTGCCCCGAGCAATATTACTGGCTCTTTCAAAGTTGAGAATGTGATATTTAATATCCATAAATATTCAGCATCAACCAAATAATATTTATCACAAATACAATAATTAGTATTACAGTGAATATATCTAATTAGAGTTTATGATAGAGCAAGCCTGAGAGTAGCTGAGGAGAGTTGTACTTTCAATTTCTTACGGCAAATTTGAAGAAATGACTGTTATGTGCACTATCCTCCCCACCAGTTATAATGAAAGTAAAGCACATAATGAAGTATCATACAATCATTACATTTTGTGTTGGTGATTCACATCACCCAATGAATGCGATCTTTCATCATTCAACATTCGTGCATCCACCTGTGCTCGATCAATCACTTTAATACAATTCTAGAAATATTAACATGGGTATGTAAAATAATGTATTCAATTGAGTTATGGAATTAATGTTTAAAAAGAATTACCTTGAAATATAGCTAGCATATACCGCAGACGCTTAGAACGGCCGGTAGAATCAACTTGATTAACGTTAGGGTTAGGGGCTTCAATTGAACCAGAAGTTAGCTCATCATCCACATGCTCAGCTATGTTAGCAAACACTCTCTCGCAAGGGATCATTGCATGGCCGTCAGTAGCAACGACTCCACCAAAAATACTGTCCAACTTTTCTTCAAGCTCATGGTTGATACCACTGAACTTAAATTTTTTAGCATTTGGAACCACCTATAGAGTAATGGGTTATTCATATGTTGAAGAAATTGAAGAAGTTAATAATTGGCAAGAGAATTCATGCAACATAAATTCTCAAATCTAATCTCTTGGCCACCATTCTTCGAAAGCATCTAAGGTTCGTTTTATGGGGTCCCAACCCAAGCCTTGATCCATGCTTCAACTATTTCCATATATTTCAGTATGTTAACTTATCTCACTTATTTTTCAATTGCATCCGGTCATATTTCCTTTCTGTGCACTCCTTGAACTTCTTTATTATATTTTGCCAACCCTCCTAATTAAAATAGGTAATTGGCATATTTGTTAATTCCACCTCTTTAAAACAAAGATTGCAGAAAATAAGTTTGACCTCATTATCCCACATGGTAGGCGAACGACTCTCTTTTGTCTTTACCATGATGATACTAACAAGAAAAATCATCAAGCAATATAAATGCAAAGCACATCAAAAACAAAATGTCAAAAAAGTCATAACATGAAAAGCCAACTGAAATGAAACATTATAACGAACAGCAAAAACTAACATCACCACTAACAACACCACCAAAATTACCACTAACAGCACCACCAAAATCACCACTAACATCACCAATATCAGCAACCACATAAACAACCATGGCACAACATCACCACGAACGACAATACCACCATGGCACCGAAAAACCACCCTCGCATCTCTACGCACCACCATTTCCACCACACCACCATCACCAGTACACCATAATCACCACCACAACCCATAAACCACAACAAAATGAAAAAGTGAGCAACACCACCACACCACAACCATCACATCAACCCATAAATGACACCATAATGTGAAAGAAAGCAATGTCATCACACCGCTTCCACCACACCACCACCATCACACCATCACCACCACTACAACTCATAAACCACAGCATATGAGAAAGAGAGCAACACCACCACACCACTTTGCATACAAAAAAAATGAAGCATAATCTCGATAAGTTGCATGGCCCCCGCATTGGTTTTAAAAAGGTGATCATCATCCTCCTCTATCAGATTATAAATCACATTAAACAAGATAACCTCAAACTCAAGTAACATTCACAAATTGAATTGATCAAGGACACCCATAACCCAAAACCACCGTGTGCAAAGAAAACCCGAAAATCCATTCTTGCAGTCGGGGACCAAAAAGCAAAGAGAACAAAAATCATCAAAAGAATAAGGATATTTCAAATCCTTCTCTTCCAACCGCAAATCCCATATAGCAAGGAGAGTAGATGTCGATTTCTCCAAAATTTACAAAAAAATTTGAATCTTCCACAAATTCACAAGAAAAATGAATCTCGTTCTTCTAACCTCAATCGGCAAATAGTAAAGAGACAAAAAGCCAACTTCCCTACAAACACACAAAGAAAACGAAACAGAAACTTTTGAATCCATCTATTCCAACAACGTATACCGCGGAGAGCAAAGAAGCCATAAACAACAAACCAAAAAAGAACAAAAAACCATAAATCGAGAAGAGCAAAAGGACCGCATACCAGAAACCACGACAGCAAAAGGACCGCATATCAAATACCACAAACCGCGGCAACAAATCAAAAATAAACATTGATGAAAATAGGGAAGGTGGTACCAGAGATAGTAGGGGAGCGGAGGAGAAGTGAACACTAGCAATCCCTCGCCGTAGAATAAAAAAAAGCAACGGAAGAAAATAAACCCTAGGTAGCATCATCGCTCAAAGGAACAGGCAGAGAGGTGGTGCCAGATAATTGCGAACCAAGTGAAACAACGAACGCGGGGGCCTCGTAGCTTATGGATATTACGCCTTATTTTTAATAAAACGGACACACCGTTCTTTCCAAAAGCTAGAATAAGTGTTTTCAAAACATGCCGCAGTGAAAAAGCTACGCCAAACGGAGCCTATATAAACAATAGTTTAATGGATTTAAACTTATTTATTTACTAAATGAAGCAATTGTTTATCTTAATCTAATAAACAATCGAGATTAGTATATTATGTTGTACTTGAATGCATAGCATATTTGGTAGAAATAAAATAAAGAATCTTAAAAAGTCGGGTTCAAACACTCACCCGGCCCAGAAGAAAAAAAGGATTGGGATATTATGTTAACATCATATGAATTTCATAATAATATCAATTTCAGAAATTCAATCTACTCATCAATATTACAACATTTTTATCAAACAAACACAACTCCCAAAATACTTTAGACAGGAATATTAACATGTTTTGAACAGAACATAACATATATTTACAAAAGCACCGCACAGAACATCACCATAAAGCAAAGCAAAGCAAAAAATAGCAAAGCCAAACAAAATCTAAAAGAAAAGTATTATGCTTAAGAAAAAAAAAGGAAACCAGTAGGTAATCTTAAATGCAAAATTGCAGTCAACTAGAGTTTAATTATGAAGGAAACTCACACCAGGCTTCTTAGACGATTTGATAATTTTTTAACTGTCTCATCTTTGGTATTAGGAGTTACGCTTTCAACTTTGTCAGCAATTTGTGAGCTAAATGCATTTAGCTGCAAGTAGAATAGAACTGTCATATGAGAGTATGGAAATGGGAGAGAGAGAGAGAGCAGGATAAAGTACAATCCAAGCAAAGCATACCAGTTCCCTAATCCAGTTGACTGCATGAAAAAGAGATAAGCACACGATCTTCTTCTGCTTTTCTGTCAGCTTCTTCCATTGAATTCCAGAGAAATACTATCATGCATGATAGAGCATGTAGGACAAAGAAACATGTGGAATTGCACAAATCATATCAAATAGCAATCAATTGACAAAAACAAAGCAGCATCTATAACCATGTCGCACCAAGCTGACATTGATGAAACTCGCAATTTAAATACAATTACAATTTCTTCGCGCTGCTGAAAATTGGAAGGTTTCACCAATTCATAACACAATGACAACTCTGATTTGGAGAATGCATATCAAGAAATATGATATTAGAATGAGAGGAGAGCTACCCCATACTAACAGGATTGTAAATAGGATTGATACAATAACGATGTCCATTCAACCAAAATGGAATTACTCCTCTAAATTGAGTCTGAAAATAAGTATTTAGATTGACAGAAAAATGTTCAAGATAGTTAACATTCAAGAAGAAATTCGAGGAAAAAATTGGAATTGCAATATTTTTGGCAATTCATACTACATAGTGGCAAAGAAAATATCAAAAGATCGGTAACAAGTACCCAAAGGCAACAAAAAATTTACCAGAACCCAGCTGTAGCCTGGCATGGTTTATGTTTAGCTTGTCAATACGTATATTGAAAGAACCATTTATTGTTCATTTGCCGAGCATTACTGCTAAAAGTCTGCTTCTAGTAAAGGAAAATCACTAAAGATCCAGAGTTATGAATATGCCCGCTCAGATACTAAATTGATGGGGGCAGGCTGTTGATTGCTCTGATATGGGTAACTAATGGCAGCTAGGATTCATGAAACCTAAACTAGATAGATTAGGCTAGGGAAAACGAGCTCCGTGAGCTTGTGCAAAAATCTGGATTGTAATTAAAGAGATTTGGGTTAAGGAGAAAATCAAAATTAAGAGGGGAGAGGAAGAGCAATCCAAACAAAAGAGGGAATATGGCTTTAAAACTTTTAAATTAAATTCATGTTTCAACAATGCAGTACCTCACAAATGCGCTACTATAATAGCCATCAAACAAAATAATAAAAGATAACCATGACTAAGGCCTAATAAATCATACTCATAACAAATCTAATCCTATATAAATAACATTAAACATTCTTGTCATTATAAAATAAAAAATAAAGTCAAATTAATTTTAGGTAAAGCTAAAGAAGCATCACATTCTGTGTGAGTTTCCCAGCGGTTGGAAGCACTCTCCTTCAAAGATATTAAAAAGAAACCAAAATAGCATGGAGCTGGATAATGCAAAGCATTGAAGTCGTCCCCAAAATCAACCAAGAAATATGCAAACACAATGTAATACTTGTAGGAAGTGTTGGAGAAAAAAAGATGCCCTAGTTGCAAAAAAGGTTCTGTAAAACAAACGTACAACGAACGAAACCATTGTAGCACACATGCATGGTGATAGATGGCATGAAGTCAATTTGAATAATCTTTTAGTGAGAGGGCAACAAACAATTTTATTTGGGTAATTATAGATCTTCTTTATAGATGTTTTAGATGCAACAACAAACATTAATAGTTGGGATGACTGATGATTCTAACAAAAGTTCACGTGCAACACTAGTTCTACAAAGAGTCTCAACAGCAGCACGCCCCAGCTTTGGAACAACAGGCTTAACCTCAAGGATAGAAAGTTCAAGTTCATGTTCGTCATCATTTGTTAACTGAAGATGCTCATCTACATGTCCTACATCACTATCAAAATCAACGTCAATAGGTGTTTTTCAGTGTTGCAAAGTATCCATCTGAGGCATTATTTCTCTGACAAGCGGTTATGGAAAGACTTCTTTGACTGCCAAATCATTTTGAGCTGTGCTATGCATGAGCTTCAGTGGTTGTTGATGCCAATACAGATCATAAGAAATAAAATGAAAAGTGGAATAAGGTTGGACATAATACATATAGTTGACCGTCATTTAAAAAAAATATATTGGTAAATGGTTGCAACCAGGATTTAAGTTTAATAGAATTTAGTAAATCTGGTAAATCAGAATTCATCAAATCCAAATATTTTTAAAACCAAAATGGTGTTTGGTTCAGTTAAGGCAAAATCCAGTTAAACCCATATGATGTGTTTCCAATTGACAAGTTTTCTTTATAAGCTAACGTGGTGTTTGGTAGCATACTTTTAATAGAAATTCAGGCTGGATTTAAAACACAAAAAGGGAAGTTAAATTCGGCGCTCCGCTAAATCCACTTTTGCTCTCTGTTTTGAAGTACATTCGAATTTATTGAATCTGATCTGTAGGTGCATTTAACTGATTTAACTTAGGAAGGAAAACACACAAGTTCGGTTCTCGTTGTCGCTTTCTTGGTCACACTGTGCCACGAAGAAAGGAAATCGAAGTGATCGCCTCACTGTCTGTCGACTTCAAATGGATTGTTCCGGTTCTTCTAAACCTGGCAACATCCCTTACACAATTTCACTTTTTTCTACACAACGACAACAAGCCTTTATCCCACTAAGTGGGGTCAGCTACATGAATCCTTTTTCTCCACTGTGTTATGCAACATGCCCAGGTCTTTTTAGGTCTACCTCCACCATTCTTAACATAAGTTAAATCTAAAACATATACACTCCTAACAGGATCATCAGATGGTCGACGGTTAATGTGACCAAAGCATCTAAGATGACTCACTCTAATCTAATCTGCCACTAAAGCTACACAAATCCTAAAAATCTTTTTTTTTTTTTTGATTCACCATAGGAGAATACTTTTTGAGGTCATTTATGAGAGTGGTCTCACCTAGAGAAGAAAAAACAAGAAAGGTAAGAAGTAGAAGCCCATGAGAAAAAAACATGGGAGATGGAATCAAGGAGGGTAGAAAAGTGTAGTTGTGATGAAGATGATTATACAATGGGCCAAGAGTTCCTCAATGCCACGTAGCTGATTCAGGGATATGAGGAAGAGCAGCCAAACATTGGTGTTTACTTATTGGAGGTATTTACATACATAGCACCCAATTCTTATGTTTTACATATCCAAAACCTAAACTTTCATTTTGACAGATATATTACCTAAATCTTTAATATCACAAAAAAAATACCACCAATGACAATTTATAAAAAGTGAAATACACATTTTCCTGCATAGGTAAGGTGCCATGTATGTAAAAATAGAAGTTTAGGTGTTAGATATGTAAATTCATAGAATTAAGCGGTATGTATGTAAATCTTGATACCAGTTTTTGAAGTAAATGTGCTACTTACATAGTAGGGAAATCAAGGGAAGTTGATTAGAACATTGGAGCACAATGAAAGAATTGTGCGTGCCCAATCAAGGGATCGGGGTTTCTATCATTTGAACTTGTTTTAAAACCAACTGAATGTTAAATCCTAAAATAATATGTCAAACGCTCCTTGAGGATATAACCTTAACAGTACCAAACACTTTTCTGAATTTAAGGGCATCTGGATTTGACAAATCCATATTTGCCGGATTTACTAAATCCTGCTTAAAAACTGGGTGCATCCAAACGCCTCCTAAATTCAATAAATCCATCTAATAATTGGATTTAGCAAAATCAGAATCTTCGTCGAAAAGGAGACAAATGGAGAAAAATATGGATTTTGGGAAGCACCGGATTTAGCCACACTATTTTTCGCATTTGGCACGATTTCTGTTAAATCCAGACGTCATTCCTATTAAGAAGGTGCAGCCAAACATCCCCTTAATTTAATTAAGAGGGGATGGAAACCCCTTCCTTCGTACATCATGCCCTGTCAGAGGCATGGGATTAATACGATTCCCATTCCAAATACATGCAAGACAAGCTCGTTGGGCAAGTAGAGAGAAAAATAAAAGAGAGTAGCAGCATCCTAATAGCTAAAAATAGAAAATATACGAATAACAAAAATATATTTATGAGCTGAATATGTAATCATGTGATGTGATCCTGCATGAAAATGCTTTCTGAATAGGATAATTGTTGAAATAAGAGATCCTGGTGAGATTTCAACCTTTTAAAGGTATGGCAGCGCAATAGATTGATCACTCTTACGAAAAAAGTATGCATTGTACCTTGGGAGAAGGAAGATGCAGGGGACAACCAAGAAGTGCATCAATACCACCAAGTGATCCCTGGTTTGACAGTCTTTCAACCTTTAAAAGGTAACGGGTTAACAGTTAGAAAATAACTCGCTAGAACAATTGTGATATTATTTAGCACTAAAATGAATCAAATACTTACTACAGATAATAACAAAAATTGAGAAGGAAGAATCTGCAAAGAATCTGATTGTCTGAAATCAAGATATGTAAATTTGAAGGAAACAGTTTTTTATAACACTGAAACAGGATTTAAGTTAAACTAAATCATAAGATTTGCCATTTATAATATTACTGTGGCAGTGATGAAGTAAGTAATGGCAGGATCTTCAAGACTATAGGAGATGCATCACCATCCAAATTTATCCATAGTTCTCCTGAAATAGAAAATATTCAATATTGATTCTTAACCCTGGCATTAAGTTCAATAAATCAAAAGGGAAAATATAGATTGATTAGCAAACCTTCTATCCCATCACAAGAGATATTTGATGGCAACTGACCTCTCTCAAGATCGGATAAAAACATTGGCTCGAATTCACTAACATGCTTTCCAATCCTGTTTTTTATTTTATTTTTTAAAACATAGAAAAGCAAAATCAATTCATCCATATGTTCATATCTTAGCAAGGCGGGTATTAATCAATGTCAAAAAAAGTTGCAAATATGAACACAACTGAATCTGAATATATCCAAATAAATCCACCGACCAACAAGTTTCAGATTTATTAACCACCTACCATTCAATAATTTCTGGCTTAAGAACTCTGTCCTCCAAAAGAGCAATTAGCTCGTCATAAAATAGAATCAATGTTAAAGGCACCGATTTGCATGAATCTAAAGACATCTGCAGCAGCTCCAATGCATCATCAGAGTTTGATTTCTGCATGAAGCATTGCATCAAGTATGGTAAATTATGATATAATTTTACTTTGCAAGGAGTAGAAACTGGAGAAGCTTTCATTCTTCATCAAATTCAATGCAAATTAATAAAAACTAATAATACAACCAATCAAACTGTGCATCCAATATACCCAAAAGTTATTAATGTGAAAATTCAACAATGCTTGATTTCCAAGCATACAATGAAAAAAAAAATTAACTATTGAAATAAGAAAATTAACTATATGCAGAAAAAAAAATTCAACAAAATTTATGATATAATTTTACTTTGCAAGGAGTAGAAACTGGAGAAGCTTTCATTCTTCATCAAATTCCATGCAAATTAAAAAAAAACTAATAATGCAACCAATCAAACTGTGCATCCAATATACCCAAAAGTTATTAATGTGTAAATTCAACAATGCTTGATTTCCGAGCATACAATGAAAAAAAAGTTTAACTATTGAAATAAGAAAATTAACTACATGCAGAAAAAAAAACTCAACAATTTTTATGCTGTTGGACAGGGTATTCCACCCAGTCGTTGGTCCATGAAAGAAATAAAATACGAACGGGACCACAAAAGAACTATTTGAAACCCATAACAAAACGTTCATTCTTATATTAACTGCAGGAAAATGCATTCTTCGCTTTGTGGCCCAATCCATAGCCTTTGCAATACAATTTCAACCCAAGGGAACAAAAACTTACTTGATTAGCACAAATAAATCGACATTTCAACATTAATAAATAATGAGCATGGCATTGATCATGCTAACTATTTCGAAGATCATGACATGGATTTCAATCTTAAGGCATCCGAACAATAAAAAATTCAAGCCATCAGACTGAATCCATGTTTCACATTCAATAAAGGATTGCATTATGCCCTTATTGTTTCTCTTTTGGTTCTTTTTAGATCTCGGAGTCGCCAGCTTGTCTTTTTGTATGTCGCCGTATAATTTCCCTATTCGAGTAAGTCTCCCTCTCGAACTAAATGAATGACTCGAAAAGGCGAGGAATCGAATAGTGAACTAACGTACTACAACAAATAGGCAAACAAATCCATCACAAAAAGGGAATAACACTAGTTAGATTCATTGGATTTTTAGCAACGTCATACTCATGTCAGTCTCATCACTTAACTCGCATTGCTCATCGGGATTGACCCAGCAAGCCATGCTCGTTAAGGTATCGCGACCAACACGGGGTCACTCTCATAACAAGTAGGACAAGCCATCGAGGAATGGGCAAAACACACAGTCATGCAAAAAAGCTCACATTGTGACTACTCGATTGAGATACGGGCAATCACAACAGGCCCCCAAAGAGCGAACACACGCCATACAAATGAATGCAAGAATGCTACATGAAACATGACACGCACAAACGGGATATACCGGTAAAAAAGACTACCTATAAAGAGAATATGCGCCTGCCCGGGGACCCGGGGTGCCATGCAACTAGCTGACACCGACTATAAGTGAGTTTGCATCGAGTAAAAGGATACCTATAAAGAGGAATTACAACTTACCCGAGAGGCACTCACCAAGCACACATGCAAACATGCAAGACATGCAACAGACATATGATAAGTGCACCAAATTAGTGAGGGGAGTATGTCGTGACGACAGTGACTCAAAAGGAGCGGGCATGTCATAGTTACAGTGGACCAAAAGATGAGTATGTCGAAGAGGCAGTGACTCGAAGATGGACATATAGTGACGACAGTGGCCCGAAAAAATGGGTATGCCAAGGAGGCGGTAACCCAAAGATGGACATACCGTGACGGCGGCGGTCCGAACAAAAGGGTATACCGAGGAGGCAGTGACCCGAATAAATGTGCAACTCAAACAAGTGACAGTGCTCGACATGCAAACAGACCAACATGCACATGCACAACATGAAATAACATGCAATATGATGCGATAGCATACAAACATGCAAGTGATCGGTCGATCGGGCCGTGGTGGGCGGTCGAACTAAAGTAATCGGTCAACCAGGTCGTGGTGGCCGGTCGAACCAAAGTGATCAAATGATCATGCATATGACACGCAATATGATCAACACACGAAAATTCTATGAAATGATCCATGCACATGCAATAAAATCCAATCGCTCGACGGCACGTCGAACTCGTCCTAACGATCTCAACATAGATACCTGGGGTTGACGCACTCACCTGGGTGTAACAATTCCCGGCGACCTCGAAGTGCTCCAGCGAAGTATCCAGTCGTTGGGAAGGTAGGATGGCGAGGTGGAGGACTTAGCTTGCTAGTGGTGCGCACTGGGAGCGAAGGAAGCGCGGAGGAAAGGCTCTCCTCGTTGATTTTCTCCGGAATAAATGCGACGTCGGAAATTAACAAGACCGGCTAGGAGGGAGAGATCTGGCGGAGTTTTGCCGGCGAGGAAGGAGGCTGAGACCGAGGGGCGGCGAGCTAGGGCACGTGAAGGAAATTTTCGGGCAAAAGGAGGGGCTACCGGCATTGGGGAAGAAGATTTGCTGGCGGCGTCGAGTGGGAGGCAGGATTCCGAATCGGGGAGGCGGATGCAATAGTTTTCGCGAAACCGGCGATAAGGAGGGGAGAGAGACCGATTCGGCGGAGGAGGGATGTCGGAGACGGCGTCGCCGAGTTTCGCCGGCGAGGAGGAAAGTTCGGCGGGCTTCTTCTCCCGGAGAACGACGAAGAGGGGGAGGTCTCGCGATCGGTTCGGGCGAGAAAAGGGAGTCGCGTGCGATCGGGAGAATGGAGGAGAGAGGGTGTGTAAGCTGATACAGGAGAGAGGGATTTAAAATATATATATAATAATATTACTATTAGAATATAATTATTATTATTATTCAATTCACGTCTCCCCGCACTTTTTCGTCGAACACGTCATCGCGATAAAATGAATGTCTCCTTTAGGTAAAATTGACGTTCCGGACGCACTGGTGTGGTCTGTTTAGTCGTCTGGGGTCATTCGGACCACTTATTTTAGCAATCGGGGTGAAAATTAAAATTCAAGCATTTTTAGCCCACACACGAAACCGTGGTGCAACGAGCGTCCTTTTTTAAGTGGAATTGACGTTTCGGACTCACTCGTGTGGTCTGTTTCGTCATTCAGGGTCGTTCGTACCACTTTTTCAGCAAACGAGTCCAAGATAAAAATTTGCACATTTTTAGCCCGTATTCGAAGCGTTAACAACATAGACGCCCTCCTTAGGTAATATCGACGCCCCAGATACACATGACATCAAAAAAATGATGCCAACTCTTATTCATTTATTACCTTTGTCATTTCTCTAAGCATTTGTATGAAGAAAACCAGCAACTTGCAATATAAAAGCTTCAAGGACAGGTATATCGAAGTAACAGCAAATTTAAATAATAGCTTGTTGGGGGAGATTGTAATTAAGCCTCGAAAACCGATTTGAGAGATCAGAAAAAAAAAATTTGAACAGGAACACAATACCAAAAAATACATAGAACAAAAGATTTAACGTGAAAAACCCCGAAAACAAGAAAAAACTCCAATTACACCACACTAAGAAATTTATTATGAAGAAAATCAAGAGAACTGTACATATTACACCACACTCAAGCACAGGTATATCGAAGTAACAGCAAATTTAAAAAATAACTTGCTAGGGGAGATTGTAATTAAGCCGCATAAACCGATTTGAAAGATCTGGGAAAAAAAAAATTTGAATAAAAACAAAAAAAACATAGAACAAAAAACTTAACGTGAAAAACCCCGAAAATAATAAAAAAACACAGTCACACCACACCAAGAAATTCATTATGAAAAAAATAAAGAGAATTGTACAAATTACACCACACTTTGGAAAACTTCATAACGCTCCCCTCCTCTCCTTTGCAAAAGGGAAATTGAAATTCAATACACTCTAATTGGCAAAAGTAAACCTTTAAATCAAAAACTACTCAAATTTGGTTAATAGCGTCAGGGAACTGATTTTCAGGCGTTGTTGACAAGTATTGTTGTGGCATGCTCTCGTATTTTGAACTTGAATTAGGCATTGTGGTGCTGTCTTCCAAGTGTTCTGACTTTACTTGGCGTTGGGGGCACTGTTGGCTTGGCGTTGAGGCGTGGTGCATAGAAAAAAAAATTCATGAACCCAATATAGGGGAATAATTTTTTTAAGCTCGAATTATAAACGAGTCGAACACAAACAACTTTTTGTTCGGTCAAGTTAGGCTCGTTTTAGCTCGAAATAATAGGGAGCCGAACAAGAACAACCTTTTCTTCGATCGTGTTCGACTCGTTTTAGCTTGAAATAAATTTTATATATATATATATATAATTTTAAATCATAATAGCTTGTATAGTCATATGGTTTTGTCTCCTATTACACAAAGTGGTGCGGGTTTGAATCCAACAACTTACATCTATTTTTTTAATTAATTTAAACAACTCAATTTCAAACCGAACACGAACACATTGTTCACGAGCAATTTCGAACACGAGCCAAGTCTGAGCTCACTCAAGCTCGACTCGTCTACAGCCTTACCCCCATAGCCGAGATGGTTGGACATGAGCATTCATTACAAATTCCTAGATAATTGTTCATTCAAGTCTCTGATCTTCTTCATATAAGATCCTGCAATCAACATAATATCCACATACAATTGAAGAATGATAGAATAATTATTTAAATGTTTAGTGAAACAACAATGATCTAATTGACACTTAGGGTACTTGCCATATAACATAAACCAATCAAATCTCATGTATTAATGTCTTGATGTCCACTTTAAACCATGAATACTCTTCTTCAGTCTACAGATCTTTCTTTTTTCCTGAAATTTTATATCCACGTGGTTGCACCATGTACAGTTATTCTTCTAAATCACCATGCAAGAGTGTTATCTTTACATCAATCTACTCCAGATGTATATCTTTTACTACTACTAAGTTCAACCAAACACTAATAGTTATCATCTTCCCTACAAGAAAAAAAATCTCAGTATAGTCAACTCGTTCCTTTTACTAAAATCC